AGCCTCAGTCGGGGCCACTCGTCTATCTTCTTTCCGAGTTTGATAAATAAGTGCCACTCACTGGGAAGGAAAGAGGAGACTACGCACTGTGCCTGCTACACGGTTGTAGACTCTCTCTTTAAAATAAGGTGCCATGACTGATGGCATAGAAACGGAGATCAACAGCGCATTACCAACTACATGAAAGGAAGAGTGACAAAAGGCTTTGTCATGAAAGTGAAGGAAGACTGGCATTCCAAAAGTGAGAAACTTTTCCTTTTCTTTTCTTTCTCTCAAAGCATCGTTGAAATCAGGCGCATTTTGCGTAGTCATCGATACCAATCGCATCAGGACTGCTCATCAGGTTTACAAATTGAGCGAGGTTTATAATCACATTCGGTTCTGCATCGAAAGCTGTACTACGCATACACGCTGTAAGGTTTCGCCATACGCGGTACCGGTAGTGGTTTTCAGCGCGTTAAAGGACGGTGGTTCACGTTTAAATTTAGTTGGCTGAATTACCTGCGCCAAGTTTAACTTGTCTGGTAAGTTGCTGGTAAATGCATCGGGTAGAATGTTCCTAATGTTAGAGAGTGGGCAGATAGCCCCACAGATATGCAGCTTTTCTTAACTCCTTTCGTTTGCTTATTTCCTCTGTGATGTTGTACTCTGAAATATATGATCACCGTGTTTTACTTCTTAACGTAGCTTGACTTTCGATCACTCTTACCGTTTGTGTTTAGGTGCAAAAAACCGTAGAATCGTTGAAGAATACGCAAAAGGGTCGTCTACACTACGCTGATGATAATGTTGTGAGTATACATATGCTAGTTATAACTCATTACCCCGCTCCCTAAACCTGCATCGAAATGGCGTTAGCTAAAACTTAGTCACACACAATTAAAGCTTACTGATTCCTCCGCTTGTATATGTGAAGATATGCGATATGTGGCGTCACTTCATCACTACGTCCTTCATAAGAACGGAACCACACAAAACCCACAAACGAAACAGTTCGATTCAGGGCTCCATGTTGAACGAATCCTTGAGTACTACAGGTGCCACGTGCTAACAACACGTAATGCTGTGACAAAGAACAAAAGAAAAGTGAATCGATGTGTAAAGAAAGTCAGTAAGCTTGACCAGCTGTCAGCGGTGCGTAGAAAGCTGACTTAAACGCTGGAGGTATGCTGGAGTGAATAGACTAGTAGGAATATGAACTTGACGACCAAGTTGATGTTCTGCAGTTTTGTGGGTTCAACAGTTGTATGAAGTGAAGGCGTTGCGGTGTGATCACGCAGCACATTGGAAAGTGATGATTTTCAACATCGCCTTAATTTTTCATTTGTTCTGAAAATCATTCAATCATTAAATCATCCTTATGCATTAATATTTATTTTGCATACTCTGCATGCATGTTTTTGATGAAAGTTTGGTTCGATTTTGGCGGAAAATATGATTTAATTTCTTTTGGTGTCTGTTTTGATGTCAAACTCGATTTTAAATTAAGGACGTGGCAGCATTATGCCGTCATTTCGATTCGAAGTTGCACTTCACCGCTGCCGAAGTGGCCGAACTTTCCAGTACGGAAGAAGCTGATGCCGGCGTCAGCGCTGTCATGGACGACGGTCACGAATGTTGCGAAAGAAACCGGTACAGTTCGATTTCATCTTCAATAATTATTCCAACATGCTGTCTATCTACTTCATCAACAAAGCATAGCTTAACGTGTTACAGATCATATAGTCCTTAATCGGACTTTACGGCTTCCGGAATGGTAGTCATCGTCACGTTGTTTCGCAAATGTTTGCAAACAATACAGCGCAATTGCAGTGAAATTACTGTAAGGAAGTTGAGAAAAATTATCTAGTGGTATAAAAGAACGATGTCATCTGTGTACAGTGAAAAGAATGGAAAATACTGAAGGTGGAACAGGTATAGCAGTTTAAAGTTTAAAGGGGAACCACATTACAGACTTTTAGACCAAACTTATCCGCACAGGTAAAGGTAGAGATGATTAGAAGTACGGATAAGTTTATTTCACGAATGAAGTCTTTTGGAATTCACAAACATGTTCCTTCAAAATAAATTAATAATTAGTCACTCACTTTCGATGACCACTTGTCCTTTCGGGTCGCTGAGGTAGACGTGTCAGAGAGTTTTCTTAACGTTCCCGATCCCCTGACAACTTCTGCAGAAAATGTCCCGAATCCGGAGCAGAGCACTTGCCCCATGTTAATCATGGCTGTCCCATGGGGTCTTCTGCCGCTCGATTGGGCAGTTAGTAGCTGTTTCGCCTTCCTTTCTGGAGGCATCTGCAAAACATGCCCAAACCATCGCAGCTGTGACTTCTCAGTCTGAAGAAACAGCAGCTGTACACCATGGGTTACTCGAATGTCTGTACTACGGGCCATATCGAGACACGAGAGTTAAGCGACTCATCTCAGAAAGCCCATTTCAGCAGCTTGTACCCGGGATCAGAATTTTTCAGTCATTGCCCACGACTCATGGCCATATTTGAACATTGAGATGAAGGTCGACTTCATCACAGACATCTTAGCTTCAGACTTCAGACTCAGGAATGCTATAGTCACAGCAATTCGGGCTAGTTCGAGCAGAATGCTGCTTGTTATTCCAGTTCACCGGTCGATCTCTTCCGTCTTATATCACCAATAAATACGACCTCGAGATACTTGAACTTTTAAACCTGTTCCACCGCTTTTCCATTTTTTTTACAAAGTGCTGCTGTCAGTAGAAGGAGGAAACAGTAGGCTTTTCGTTTTAGACTCCTTCACACCCATGCTAGTCACGTCGCACTCGTTTCTGAACCTTTCCAGAGAGATCTGAAGATCAGTTTCAGAAGATGCCAATAAATCTAGATTGTCTACAAACAAGAACCTTCTCGTCTTCGCATTTCCTACACCGATATACTCATCACCTTGGCTGCTCCTGACTATTCTATCCATGTACAACACGAACAGGGGAGGGGACCGGACGCAGCCTTGGCGAAGACCAGTGCCAGTGCTGAAAGGATTCGACGTAGCGCTATTTATGCAGACGCAGCACCTGCTCTCGACTTATAGTGAAAGGATGACACGTAGCAACTGGCCATCGATCCAATGTGTTCGTAGGCATTCCCATAGATCGCTGCGCGGAATTTGGTCATAAGGTTTTTGTATGTCAACAGAGTACGTGTAACAGATCCGCCAACATCCACGATTTCTCAACAATCTGACGTAGGGCAAATATATGATAAGAGGTGCTACGACCGGGCCGGAAGCCACACTGCTCTTCTTGCATCTTGGAGTCATTTATTTTACGGCACCTCTTTTCTATCACCTCTGTAGATACTTTTCTCGGGGGACTTAATTAGGTGATCCCCAACATTTCCAGTCGAAATCTGGTCCCTCATCGTTTACCGCTTGTTATTTACCGTCGATAAAGTCTTTTATGTGACAAGTGCGGCGTTAAAGTCCAATGCAGCACATCTCGCCGCGCCACAGTCTTCGTGCCATGCATAATGACTGTTTTCATTGTGTCAAGTTTCAATAGTATTTTTGCACCCCATATTGTGGATCGAAAAGTAGTTCATATAATATCCGATAGAACAAACAATGAAAGCCTAATTTAACGTTCCAACACTGAATAAAAATCAGTGTTTATTGAATATTTTTAATCTTTAAGTCCTCAAGCCACTTATTAAAATCTTAAATTAGCATAAAAGTGGCCATTTTCCCCGCGATTCGTTAAATAGAGACTTTATTGTACCTAATGTTTTGTGTTCTGTACCACTGTAGGAGGATGTGCAGAGTATGTGCCATTTATATAATGTAATATAAATATACTTATTACCGTCGAGAGTCTGTGCCTGTAGAAAAACTGATTAGCGATTCACTTTAGTGGGTATTACCTTGTTTTTACCCCGTTATCGCAAAGTTTACCTATAACCCAAAATTTGTTGTACCGTTTGCTGCGGGTTTAAATATACATCAGAACAATCGTTAAGACGGAGGCTGCGGTACTGCGGTGAAAGGTACATCTTGTCTCTTTATACTATGAAGCGGATTAGTTTCAGTCTATACTGGTAAGATTACTGCTAATTGAGCTGCAGATCAACCTCAATCTATAACGGCATGGACAGATTATCACTTCGGACGGTAACATGTGTAAAACCAAAAAAGGCACGAAAAGTGGAGTTTCCTGGATTGGCGATGGTCGGTTGGATTGTAATGCTATATTAGCCGGCGCTGGATGAAGTGGAACAAGTTTTACGCTGCTATCACAAACAAGCCATCCTCGACAATAAGTGTTGGTGTTTTCATCGTTCTTCCGTTTCTGTGATCAGTGAATATGAAAATTCGTTACGGACTGTTATTTTGCGCGATTAAGTTTCATTAAGTTTCTGCAACGAAAACGAGCCGGGAACCGTTTTGTTGCTCTCTCTGCCGAACTTCTTAGACCAGTTGTAACGCTAAAGTTTCAGTGATCTGTTTCAGATCAGGAATTTGTTTCTGATCATGTATGTTAATTAAATTTTTTCGGATTGCATTCGGATTGGGGGTTCAGTCGATGCACTTTTCTTGAAACGGCTAAGAAATGATGACGCTACTTCGATCATTGCCGTACAGTGCAGTAACGTTTTCGTCGTTCTACGGTTTATGCTTTACTCCATTCTAAAATGTCTCGTCTTTGCATTTAAGCAATTCGTCGTTGGATAAGCTCTGCGAATGGCTGTGTGATTTCTAGGACTTCGAACAACGTCAGCTTTTCATCTGATACCAGTGCTTTGAAAACCAACGAGCCTTCGGACAGCCAGTGGATATCGTACGACAGAAGTTTGACATCGTTTTTGAATGAGCTTAATCATCAAGTGTCTGTAAGCCTAGTGGTGATTTTGTCATAATCTTTCACCTTTCAAACCTTTGACTCTTTTAGGCGGTCACTCGACAGTGCTTGCGGAAGTACTGCAAACAACGTAAGAAGCATTTGGAAAGAGCCGGAGTCAAGCTGCGAGATTCAGACGTCTATGCCGAGCTTTTCTCACCAAGTCCTTCGCAGAACCGCGAACGCCTGCCGGTTAACAGTATAATTTGTGATGCGTGGTACTGGAATATTGGAATAAATAACTTTTAGCTTTTGAATAACGACAAGACTCCTGATATTTCATTGCCTCAGATTGGATCAGTGGCTGAAGAGAGGTCAAGTACGACCGCAGATTCCTCATTCCCAGTTTCTTGCCATACTGGTCGAATATGTGACTGCTCGTGAGAAGTTCCTGCTATGACTTGGATCGGTAGTCTTTCGTTATGAGTTATACATATTACTGCTGTTATGTGTTTTTTTGATATGTATGTCGAGTATATATGTAAATAATCTTGTATTGCTTGTGTATCATATTTAAAACGTGCTGAACTGCGTTGATCGTGCAAGAAACTGACATTATGTGACAGGTTATATGGTACGATTGCAAACGCATATTATCAGTCTTCCCATTTGTGAGTTAAATATGGTTATACCCTGGTTAACACTGTCCCGTACAACCGTAGTTCGTTATAACGCTCGTTTTGACGAATCAATTCTGACTTTTTGATCTAACAAAAAATATGCATATATGAATTAAACAGGAAGTTATTTAAACTGTGTTGTTCAGCACTAGAGTGAACAAATATTATATGGTGACATTTATGAGCAGGCGCTGATGCATTATAAACTTGTTCGGTTGGAATATTAACAGACCATTTGTATGACGAGAAACTGAATAAATTGTAGTTTTGAGGACTGAGTATATGAAACATACAGGATGTAGCTAAAAAGAAAGGCAGATGTAGCTAAACAACAACAGCTGATGTGTTCCTCAAGGCATAATGACGCTTGGCAAGTACAGACAGAAAATACTGTTCTCTGTAAGAGCGATTACACACAGCTCAGAGATGAAGATAATCATGTTGGCATCAAGGCTCTGGCCGCAATGTTACAGTGCAGGAACGATTACAAATAAAGGAAACAAAGTAATATTTTCATTAAAGATGAAATGATGAACAGAATCAGCATCATATTCCTCTTAGCTAATCATCACGGAAAAGTTACAAGTCATATATTTGTATTCCCTCAAAACCACGTGGAAAGTTGATTCGCAGAAATGTATGAAGTCAATCCTAAATGGTTTGGAAAATTTAAGTGTCGCAGTAGCAGCATAGCCTTAAAGTGCGTGATGAATCGACTGCCGCTGATTATCAAGTAAATCAAAGTTTCCCCACAGAGCAATCATCGAGTTTGACGATTGGCCGTCTGAGCTTGTTTTGAATCTGAAGGAAACTGGTCATAAATGAAAAAGAATGCCGGGACATTCCTTCATAAACTTAGAAGAGATGTATGTGGTACAGTTTAATGTTGCCGCAGAGGGAATCATGATTATGTCTTGAGGTAATGTTGAAGGCCCAAATCCTTAATCATCTCCCATTCGCAGATAACTAGACCAAGGAAGGATTATAACGGGCGCCTGTCCTTTCAGCTGGAAGCGAGGCGCGAAAGTATAGGCGACTTAAGAAATTACTCACGAATGGTTTCTTCAAAATTTTGCTCAGAAATGAAGCGCTACTGTCATGCTAATAATTTTAGGCTCATGGCACTTCCAGTGCTCGACAATGGCCATGGTCACCCAGTGAACTTGACTGTCTTACTTGTTGCATTATCTGTTGAAGTGATTGACTATTCATTAGATCTATTCAACCGATAGATCTGCACGTCATAGGAAGGTCTGTTCGCTGCGATGTGCCCTTAGGAACTGACTGGAGTAACTGATGATAAAAATCAGGTCTAATAAAGACTTACGGAAATCTTTCAGTATTGTTGACCAATCGGAAATATCAGCACAGCCTGGAAGAAGCGTCATTCAAATACATGAAAAACACATGGGTAGAAAGATGGCCTGAGGGATGTTATAATTCCAATAATTTAGAATAACATAGAACTGCGATTGTGGACGACGGTGTTGAATAAAATATGCTTTGCTGCTCGAATTTGCATAACATATCCATATTTTTCAACACAAAACAACATGCGAAACCTTAAGGTATACTTTAAGCGGTTGTCAAATTGAAGAGCGTCTACATCATCAAACATCAATGGGGTTTTCATGGCGCTAGTTAATGCAAGAATAACAGAATTTTGTTGTTGTTCTGTCCAACAGCAGATGCTCATTATATTTAAACTTAAGCTTGAATGTAGGAACGAATGAGACGACAGAGTCAAACGAAGCGGATGTTGCCGTCGGAGAGAATACCGCTACATAGCGTAGGCCAAACTTCGGGAGGCATTGCCGAAGTCATTTGAGGAAAATTTCCTAATCGAAACAATCCTTACGCGTTATCAAATTAAGGGTCCAGGCAGAACGCAAAGGAACCGCAAAAAGGCAGAAAAACAAAGAAAACTTCATTGCCTCAAATATTAAACTCCACCATTTCCGGTGAAAATCTAGAATAAAAAATCACGTGGTTTTGGGGCCGTGGCAACCACTCCATAAAGACTTAACTACCTGCCACTTTACCACCTTAGCCACATCAGGATAAACTTCGACTTTAACACAGACAACTTAGTCTTTAAGTCCAGCTCTGCCTGAGTCACAATGGTTCCAGGTACTTCATGTGAAACGTCACCGGCCAGATTTTCCGGTAGGTCCCTTCCTCTTGTTTTCCATCACGGCG